AGAGGATGGACCGCTGCGGACGGCGGTGAGGTCAAGCAAAGAAAGCCCCGCTGAGAAGGGGGCATTTGAGGAAAGACCTAGAGGAGGTGTGCTTATCTGCAGGAAGTTCCTTCCAAGCACGCAGACAAGAACCAAGCTCTGGAGTTTGCAGCAGGCTGATGCCTTCAGCAGTGGTAAGGAGGTGTGGGGGCAGCGAGGGCAGACGAGGCAGGGCGAAGAGACAGACAGGCGAAACCTTGAAAGGTAAGGTGGCGGGGACAGATGGCCCCGACTGTCACATTGTGAGTTGTTGTAGAAACTTGGCTTTTGCTTTGAGTAAGATTGAAAACCACTGCAGGATTTGAGCAGCGTTTTGGCATGATCTGATGTGTGTTTTAAAACTCGGGCTGTTGGGCCAGCAGGTGGCATGGAGGTTAAGGCAGGTGGATCCCACATAGCTGACTCCACGGTTTGAGTCCCCGACCCAGTGACTTGAAAATCACTCCAGGCATGTGTGCTTGTGTGCCCAAATTGGAAGAGTGGAGGAGAAGGGATTGCAGTGTGGCCATCCTCGGGAGGGATAGGGGTAATTTCTCACTTTCCTCCTCTCTGTCTTTGTCTCTGGTGAGAGCACGCACCCTATAACAAACACCTAGAAAACACCTGGGCTACTGTGCGGAAAACAGTTGTGGAAGGGGACAGAAGTCATCGTGGAGGGGGTGAGAAGTCGTCCAGTTCTGGCTATCTGGATATTTGAAAGTGAGAGGGTTTGCTTGCTAGGTTAGATCTGAGAGAGAGGGGAGATAAGCTGATTCCAAGACATTTGGCTGGAGTATCCGGAAGGATGGAGTTACCCCCTCCCCGAGTGAGCGGTGATTCACTGCAGAACTGCGGGGCTGCTTGAATAATTACTCGAAGCATATGGAGGGTGTCTTTATTTTCATCTTCCCATGGAGGGAGTAGCATGATTTTAATGCCGACGACTGTTGTTGCAGCTGTTTCCCTAGTTCTAGGAGTCTCAGTTTTCAGTATGACTGTGACAAGTGGCCTTATTTAGAAAAGGGCCTACAACGGTGTACATTCCTGTTTCCTCCACGTTCCAGGGGACAGCGTCTCTGCATCTTCCAGGACGAACAGTCTGAGCTGGCGCTCCTTAATGAGTGCAAAACCCTAGTAAGAAACACTTGGAAAAAATCTTGATGCAGGGTCAGTCGGGTGGTATGGAGGTTTAAGGCGGCTGGATCCCAAATGACTGGCTACATGGTTCGAGTCCCAGAGTCGGGGCTTGAAAAATATGTGGGGTGCATGTGCCTGTGTGCCTAGAATCCCAATCCCACTGGAGAAGGAATTCCTGTGTGGTCACCCCCGCCCAGGGGGTGATTTCTCACTTTTTCTCTGTCTCTGTCTTCAGGGAGTGCACATGCCCTATAGCAGAATTAAACAAAACAAAACAAAACACAGACAAGAAACTTTGTGTACTCGTTAGGTGATGGCTAGCCAAAATTTGAGGGGAAATATCTTCATAGTTGATCTGATTCTTTTTTTTTTCACAGGTAGGAATAATAGCTACTTTTACGTTCTCGCTGTTAAATTTCCTGTAAAGTGGAAAGAAACTCTGAAAAGTCTCTTAGTCACTGTGATGCTTTAGCAGCCGCTTTTCCGTCTCGGGAGGTAAGCAGGTCGGCATGGTTTCAGTAGCAGGCCCGCCCATGTTTCTGCACGTCCACCCGCTCTGGTGTGTGGTGCACACTTAAGGTTGCAGGTGAAGGACTGAAGAGGAGTGAAAGCCAGGACGTCGGAGTGGGGCATCCAAAATGCACTCCGGGGTGAAACAGGGCAAGTCCGGATTAGGAGGTTTTATTGGAAATTGTTTAAGAAGTTGTCCCTTACCTTACCTTCTTTATTACTCCAGTGCTTAGTGGGCCTCACGGGCGTGTTGATCACTTTCACTCTTGGACGCCTTTTACCCGTACGCCTGTATGCTTCTACCCAAGTCACAGTTTCACACAAGGACGTTTGTTTTTACCATGTGCAGTGCATACATGCTTTCTATTAAATGACATTTGTGTCAAGAAAAAGGGTGGTTGGGGGGCCAGCAGAAGCTGTGATAGTTACGTTGCTGACCTCCTGCAAAGAAGTCCTGGACCCGGTGGCTTCAAACTCATGCTGGGCACGTGTGCGTACGTTACCCAAAATCCTGAGAGGACAATGGAGGAGAAGGGATTGTGGTGTGGCCATCCCTCCAAAGGGTGGTTTCTCACTTTCTTTCTGTCTCTCTGGTGAGCACACATGCCCTATAGCAAATAATCTCTCAAAAAAAGAAAAGAAAAGAAAAGAAAAATGACCGCTAAACCCATTAAACTGATTTGTCATTTAAAACACCCTGCATTAAGGAAGGGATGTATGTGTGGGCAATCATTCTGTATTATTAGAACATTATAAAATATTAGAGAATAGTTAAGATATGAGCTTTTAGGGAGCAGCAGATGGCATAATGTTACGTCGCTGGACTCCTACATAGTCAACCGCAGTTTTAGCTCAGACCTAGAGACTTAAAACATATGCCGGGCGTGTGTGCATGTGTGCTCAACATCCTGAGAGGAGAATGGAGGAGAAAGGATTATGGTGTGGCCATCTCCCCTAGTGGGTGATTTTTCGCTTTTTGTCTCTCTGTCTCTTTGGTGAGCGCGCGCACCCTATAGCAAAAATCTCTTAAAAAGAAAAAAAGATACGAACTTTTACAGATATTCTTTCCTATTTTCTTACTATTTAATTGGTATTTTCTATGAAGTAAATATCGTTCCCCTAAAAGAACATCATTGGCTCTTTTGAATCAGTGATACTCAGAGTAGTGAGTTTTTACTACATTACAGTAGTCCTTTATATTAATATTAGGACCTTAACATACTTGTCAGTGGCTGGGCAGTATTTTGGCATTTGTTTTGGGAATAACATTTGAACGTGGGGTGAAAGGACTAGAACCTGCAGATCTCTTTACCGTCCAGCGTGGGAAATGCTCACAGCCTGTCCTTTGTCCAGATATTACATCCCTCCACACCTCAGTGTCTTGCTCCTTGGGAGACTGGTTCATTCAAGTGAGTCTTCAAGTAAAAGGAAGACCATTTAGTGTATAAACAGTTACGATCGGTAATACTGAGATTTGGTATTTCATTATTAGTGAAATTGATTCTGTGTTTACTAATGACTAGGGAATAATAACTAAACTTAAAAAAAATATTCTTTACATTTTTAACTCCAGCATTGTTTTGATTTATATAGGCTATGCCATAAAGATGAAATTTCAGGATAAATAGCCAATGTTGGATTATCTAGGGTATAGTTTGAGAATGATACTAGTTAAAAACGTAATAATACCATTAGATAGTACCTTTATGAAAGTTATATAGAATCGGTGAATGGATATACTACCAGCTGATGCCTGTTTCTGGGACCAGAGGTACCAAATGTGGAGGCCGGAGGCCACCTTCTATGACTTGAGAATGCCTCTCTTCCCCCCTCCTTTTTGCTGTAGGGCACATTCCCTTGACCAGAGCGACACAGATTGAGAGACAAAGAGGGAAATGAGATGATGATCGCCCCCCCCCCCCCCCCCACTGGAATTCCTCCTCCTCCGTTCTCCTCTCAGGATCCTTCTCCTCCATTTTTCTCAGGATTTTGGACACTCACACACACACCTGGTGTGTTTTTCAAGCCACTGGGTCTGGGTCTCAGACCACGAAGTTAGCCAGTGGGATCCAGCCACCTTGACCACCATGCCTCCAACTGGGGTGAGAATGCCTCTTCTCTCGAAAGACAGATAAAGTGACTGGTGATGAGCTTCCTTCTCCTTAGCCTCCTCCTCCTGCTCCCTGGCATTTCTGATTTGGCTAGTGGCCTCCCACTGAAGGCAGAGAGGGTTGTTCAGTTTCTTCAGTCGTCCATGCACACAAAGCTAGGAGAGGAAGGGGTGTGAGAGGGGGAACTTAACGGCAGGCCGTTCAGCCTAACTGTCCTGAAGAAGTTTGGCCAAGGGGGAGACAGACTGAACTATTTCAGGAGGGGTCTGTTGGATCATTTCTTTTTTCATTTTTCCTTTTTTTTTTTTTTGAGAGCTTTTTGCTGTAGGGCGCGTGCGCTTGCCAGAAAGAGAGACAGAGAGACAGAAAGCGAGAAATCACCCCCCAAGGGATTGCTACACTGCAATTCCTTCTCCTCCATTCTCCTCTCGAGATCTTGGGCACGCACACACACATGCGCCTGGCGTGAGTTTAAGCCACCGGGTCTGGGACGCGAACTGCGGTTGACTACATGGGAGTCCCGCAACATAGCCATTACGCTAACTTCTGGTCCCATGAACTTCTCATTTTGATGAGCTAAGGTCTGTCAGGTTTTTCTTTTGCAGATGCTTTTGGCATCATGTCTAAGAACTCTTTGGACTTAGGGCCCCCACCCCCAGCCCGTCTTCTGTGTTTTTTTTTTTTTAATAATTAATTTATTTAAGTTTATTTGTTTAAATTTGACTCTGTAGTTATCACTGAGAGACAGAGAGGGAAAGTGAGAAAGCAAGCCGCCAGGTCTGGGACTGGAACTGTGGTCGGCCATGTGGGAGTCCCGCACTCTTAACTACCATGTCACCTGCCAGCCCCTCTGTGCTCTTTTCTTAACGTTTTATATTTCACATTTAAGTCTGTAATCTATTCTGAGTTAAGTTTTGTTTAAGGTATGACGTTCAGTGACCTTAATGCCATGTGTTGAAAAAGCCTACCTCACCTCCATTGAATTGCTTTTGTGCCATTGTCAGAAATCACTGGGGTCCCAGCCGCTGACTGCAGGGTGGCCAAGGCCGCATTGGAGATCTGGGTTCAGTTCAGGGCCCAGCCTAAGCAGGTCAGGTGTGGTCCATTGGTCCTAGCTAACGGGGAGGTGAGCGGGAGGGTGTGACTTGGGGAGACCCTGTGAAAAACACCTCTCTCTCCCCCTCCCTAGCTTTCACTAAACAAAACCACACAACAAACTAAAACAAAGAGCCCCCCAAAAGTAGGGCACATTTGTGTGGATCTGTTCCTTGGGTTTGTATTCTGGGGTGCGTGTGTCCATGTGCGGGCGCGCATGTGCACAGATCCCCTGGTCTTGAGTATTCTAGCTGTATAGTAAATCTTGAAGTTGGGTATATGAGTTTTTTACGTAGTCGTTCTTCACTACTGCATTGGCTATTCTAGCGCCTTTCCACACAGACGTTAAAATAAGTTTGTCAATAAGTGCTCTGCTAGCATTTTGACAGGAATTGCGTTAAATTTGGGGAGTGTTGATTCCTACGTTAAGTCTTAAAATCCACGAACACAGTCTTTCCAGTTATTTAGGTTCCCTTTGCTGTCTTTCATCTGTTTTGTAATTTTCTAGATATAGATTCTGTATGTGTTTCATTAGCTTTCTATGTAAGTATTTAATTCCGAGGGGAGGGTAATTGTAATTGCATGTTAAAATTTTTGTTCTACCTGATCGTGTACAGTATTGCAACTGATTTTAATGTGTTGATTTCGTATGTTGCAGCCTTGCCAGACTTACTGTATAGGTACCATGACATTTGTCATCTAACTGATAGGGACAGTTTTCTTTCTTTCTTTCTTTCCGATGTGGTTACCTCGTGTTTCCTTTCTTGCTTTATTGTGGTAGATAGGACTTCTCGTACTATGTGGAGAAAAGTGAAGTGACCATCCTCGCCCTGCTCCCAGCTTAGAGGGGAAGCAGTTTTTACCATTAAACAAGACGTTAGCTATACATTATTTATTGTGGAGGTTCTTTGTGAAGTTGAAGAAGTCCCTCTGTATTCCTAGTTTGCTGAGAGCTAAAAATATGACATTTTTTCCCCAAATGCCTTTTTTGTTTTAGTTGATAAGATCTTATGACTTTTGGGGCTGGCAGGTTGTGTGGTGAGCCTGAATATCCTCGCGCTGGACTCCCACATGTCCACCTGCGGTTCAAGTCCCAGACCTAGTGGCTTGCTTCCTCACTTTCTCTCTTTAGTCAAATTTAAATAAATAAATAAATAAAATATATTTTTTAAAAAAATAAGATCTTACGATTTTTCCTTAGCCTGTTGATACATTGATTTTTTTTTTAATGTTATACCATCCTTGCTTACCTTGGATACATTCTACTTGATTGTGGTGTATTATCTGTTGCTAGATTCAATTTGCAATATTTTGTTAAGGGTTTTTGGATCTAAGTTCATGAGAAATATCGGTGTGTAATTTTCTGTTCTGAGCTTTGTCTGGTTTTGGTACCAGTAAAACGGCCTCATAAAGTGAACCGGGAAATGTTTTTCTTTCATTTCTTAGAAGATGTTGTGTAAAATGACTGTTAATCCTTGTAGTGTTTGGTAAAATTCTCTGTCTGGTCCCTGAGATTTTTTTTCAGGAACCTTGAAATTACAGATTCACTTTCTTTAACAGTTACAGGATTATTCGTTTCATTTTGGCCGAGTCTTTATAGTTTGTTGTTTTGGAAGAATATGTTCTTTATTCCCCCTAAATTGTTGGATTATGAGCTGAAATTATTTGTAGCATTCCCTTTTTTCCTAAAAAATGGGATAAAATCCACCATTTAAAATGTGCACTGTGAGTGGCTTCAGTGTGTTCATACTGTTCTGCGCCCGTCACCATCAGCTCACTCCATACATCGCGTCACAGAAAGACCATAAGCACTCACTCACTTCTCACCCCCACCCCCCCAGCAACCACCAGTCTGTTCTCTGCCTCTCTGGACTTGCCTATCTGAACATTTCATATAAATGGAATCATGCAATATGATTTTTTATCCCTGGCTTCTCTCAGCATGTCTCGAGGTTTATCCACGCCATAGCACGGACTGGTATTTGTTCCTTGGGTCATGGCTGTATCACTCCACCCTCTGCTTCCATTGTTGCATTTCTTTTTTTTTTTGGGGGGGGGAGGTTTTTGCTATAGGGTGTGTGTGCTCGCCAGACAGACACAGAGAGAGACATAGAGACAGAAAGCGAGAAATCACCCCCAGGGTGGATGGCCACGTCGCAATCCCTTCTCCTCCATTCTCCTCTCGGGATCTTGGGCACGCATGCACACACGCTCGGTGTGAGTTTTAAGCCACTGGGTCCGGGACTCGAACCGTGGTCAGCTACGTGGGAGTCCAGCGGCATAGCCATTACGCCAACTGCTGGTCCCGCATTATCACATTTCTAACTCTGAGCCCCCTGCCTCCTCCTTTCACCCACAAGGAGCCTTTTGATTTGACCTATCTGGATAACCCAGGATACTCTCCCCCATCTCAGGATCCCTAATTTAACAACATCTACAAAGTCCTTTTTGCCCTATGGGTAACCTATTCAGTTTCAGGGATGAGGTCACGTGCATCTTTGGGGAGGAGCATATTCTCCCTACCACGTGGATTTTACACCTTTTCTCATCATCCCACTTCCCTGAGGCGCTGTTCTGTTCATCAGTCTGTTCTCTGTCTGTTGTTTCAATGTACCGGTTCGTTGGGAAAGTCAAGACACATTTTTTTTTTTGGAGAGGTTTTCGCTATAGGGCGCGTGCGCTAGCCAGACAGACAGAGAGATAGAGAGACAGAAAGCGAGAAATCACCCCCCATGGGGGATGGTCACGCCGCAATCCCTTCTCCTCCATTCTCCTCTCAGGATCTTGGGCACGCATGCACATGCGCCTGGCGTGAGTTTAAGCCAATGGGTCCGGGATGCCAACCGTGGTCGTCTATGTGAGTCCAGCGATATAGCCATTACGCCAACTGCTGGTCCCCAAGACACATTTTTGCATAGAAAACTACGTCATGACTTTTCCGATGACCTAATAACTAGTACACTGTGGGTGTCCCCAAGTTCACTGAACTTACTCTTTGCCACCTCCTCTCACAATCGAGCCTGTCCTCCAGATGTGTTCTCGTAATCGTGTTTCAGTTGTATAATTTCCACTTGGTACTTTAAGAAATAAGTTCTGTATTTTTTTCTGAGATCTTTTCTGCTATTTGTTTCAAGATAATTCTAGTTGTTTGTTGAAGCATTTTATGACAGCTGCTTTAAAAATCTGCTCAGGGGGACCAGCAGTTCACGTAATGGCCATGTTGCTGGACTCTCACATAGTCAGCTGTGGTTTGAGTCCCGGCCCCGGCGGCTTAAACTCACGCTGGGTGCATGTGCGTGCATGCCCAAGATCCCGAGAGGAGAACGGAGGAGAAGGGATTGCGGCGTGGCCATCCCCCCTGGGGGGTGATTTCTCGCTTTCTGTCTCTGTCTCTCTCTGTCTGTCTGGCGAGCGCACACGCCCTATAGCAAAAACCTCTCCAAAAAAAAAAATGTGCTCAGGTAATGGCGGTGTCTGTGTCATCGCGACACTGGTGTCAGCACGATCGTCTTTTCCTCATTCAGGTATGTTTGTCTTGGTTCTGGTTTGATCATGTCTTAGACATTTAAGTTACTATTTTAAGAGACTCTTGATCTTAGTTCTTCTGTTTTAGCAGATAGTTACTCTATTTAGGCTTATTTTATAGATCCTGTCTTTTATGAGCTGTGATTTCAATGGTAATTTAGTTTTTAGATCTTTTTTTTATTAGAGAGGTTTTTGCTGTAGGGAGCGTGCACTTGCTAGAGAGATAGAAAGCGAGAAATCACCCCCCAGGAGGATGGCCACATCACAGGGATTGCGGCGTGGCCATCCCCCCTGGGGGGTGATTTCTCGCTTTCTGTCTCTGTCTCTCTCTGTCTGTCTGGCGAGCGCACACGCCCTATAGCAAAAACCTCTCCAAAAAAAAAAATGTGCTCAGGTAATGGCGGTGTCTGTGTCATCGCGACACTGGTGTCAGCACGATCGTCTTTTCCTCATTCAGGTATGTTTGTCTTGGTTCTGGTTTGATCATGTCTTAGACATTTAAGTTACTATTTTAAGAGACTCTTGATCTTAGTTCTTCTGTTTTAGCAGATAGTTACTCTATTTAGGCTTATTTTATAGATCCTGTCTTTTATGAGCTGTGATTTCAATGGTAATTTAGTTTTTAGATCTTTTTTTTATTAGAGAGGTTTTTGCTGTAGGGAGCGTGCACTTGCTAGAGAGATAGAAAGCGAGAAATCACCCCCCAGGAGGATGGCCACATCACAGTCCCTTCTCCTTCATTCTTTTCTCGGGATTTTGGGCATGCATGCACATGCGCCCAGCGTGAGTTGAAGCTGCGGGTCCAGGACTCGAACCACAGTTGGTTACGTGAGAATCCAGTGACTTAACTGTTATGACATCTGCCGGTCCCCAGTTTTCAGTCTTTTACAGTGTTATTTTCTCCTGCTTTATTTTCCTGGCACTGCTGGAACTCCTGTTCCAGCTCTTCAGGTGCTACTGGGCTGCCTGGCAGGCTTGGGAGCCCTGGCGCTGCTGCTGCTGTGGGCAGACTGGTGTGACACTGCCACAAGTGTGGGACGGGGACGACCTAGCTGCCACCGTGGTGATTCCTGCCTGCCAGTTCGTGGTGGGGTGGAAAGCGTGCAGGTGTGGTGGTGGGTTGGGCCCCTCACTGTGCTGGGTCCTGGATGGAGACGGGGGAATGTGCCTTCCCTGCTGGGTCTCTGCTTGGCTGCCCCTTTCACAGGTGTATGGCCCGAGAGCAGGCTTTTCTCGTTTGTTTGTTCGTTGTTTATCTGTTTATCTGTCTCTCCGTCTCTCCCTCCCTCGCTGTCGGAGTTCCGAGTTGCAGGCTCTGGTGTCCAGTCCAGGGTATGTGGACGATGAGCGGAGAACCCAGTGAACTCACTCTGGCACTGGCCCGAAGTCCCACGGTCCCTAGCTAGTCCAGTTCTGCGTACCTCTCAGAGTTCTCTGATGGTCTGTGGGATGGTTTTGAGGGCGTTTAGTTGCGGATGGAGGAGAGGAGCAGGGAGACGTGAGCCTATGCCATCCTGTTCTAGAACTGGAGCCCTAGCGCGTCTGAGGGTTTATTTGCACTGGTGTTAACGGCAGTGAATAGGAGCCGGCCAAGGTTCCTGCCTTTATTGACACGGTCTTTAGAGGCGCCCTGCATCTGTTCTCGCTGTAGGAACAAGATAAGGGTATCGTTCCCTTGTGGAAGTTGTGTGGGAATTACAAGCGTCTTGTTTTTACATATCCATTTGTGTATTTACTCACAGGGAGTGGAGCAACGGCTGTGGTGCAGGCAGCTTACTGCGCCCCTAAAAAGGAGAAGGTGGCGATAAAGCGGATCAACCTCGAGAAATGTCAGACGAGCATGGATGAGCTCCTGGTACGTTTACTTCATCTTTCTGACACGGAGAGCCGCGCCCCTGCGTCTTCACATTACAGTGCAAAAGAGCTTGAAGTTTTCAGTCCGTGTTTTTTTTTGTTTTTTTTTTTAAGGTTTGTGATTTATGCATTGATACATGTTGTGAAATGTATGAAACCTGGCTAAGTGGAAAGAAAACAGCGAGCTCTAATCCTCTCACTCCAAGATTAACGTTTGCTGTGTCCTCTGCCATGTTTCAGTCTTTGTGTTGTGATACTGTGGTCGTACCTGCCCTATTCATTCAGCAAGTTCTCATAGAACCCTTCCTGTGTCCGCGAACGTGGGTCGGAATTGTTTCAGTGTGCGTATGCATGATGCAGCGGTATTCCATTAAATGGACCACAGTTTGTCCCCATTTTCTGGTATTAGATGACTGCGTTGTTTCCTCTTTTTAATTGTTACAAACAGCACTTGCTTGCTTCTCTTTTTCCTAAAACTAATGTATAATAGTGATTCTTGTGTCAAATGGAATATCCTTTAAAAGGATTGGCCTCTGAGAACCTTGGTGTCAAGTCTGTATTCCGACCATTAATTCAGGATGAGAAAGTGCTCCCTAGGCAGTGTTGACGCCTCCCAAGGCTAGGGAACTGCAGAAGGAAGGAGAGGCTCAAGGATCGATAGCAGTAAGAGATACTCTGGCATGAAATTGCAGTCCCACAGCAATTGTCTGGTTTATGCCCCGTGATACCCAGAATAGTTCTATAGTTTTAAAAACTCTTTCACATTTTAATTCCTCAGTTTCTTTGACTGAAATCGGAAATAATAGTACAGTCACTCGCCCTGTAACAATGTGTTGGTTATTGACAGACTGCCTCTGCCACAGTGGTGCCGTAAGATTATAGTAGAGACGACAGTTTCCTGCCGCCTGTGGACACTGCAGCCGTCCTAGTGTCGTAGAACGACACATGATTCACGTGTTCATGGCGACGCTGCTGTGCACAGACCTGCCGTGCTTCCGACGGGACAGAAGTTTTATGTAGAGCGTTACATATAGTGCATAATACGTGATAATGCTCCTGTACAGCTGTCGTAGTGCTTCCTGCACTTACTGACCCTACTTCTTATGGGGATTTTAGAGTATAATGTTACCGCAATGTATGTGCACGCGTGCGTGTGCACACAGGCACACACGTATACATACACACTATGTATCAGCATGCGTGTGCACACACGCACACACGTATACATACACACTATGTATCAGCATGCGTGTGCACACACGCACACACGTGTACATACACACTATGTATCAGCATGCTTTGTAGTTCTGGCACCAGTCTCATGTCTGCTGCTCATCACAGTTCTTGATTACATCAGTTTTCTCTTGTGCTTGATTTAATCTCAGGTCGTTTTTCTCATCATGACCCTTCCAGCGGGACAAGACCTGGAGGTAAAAGTGATGTTGACGATCCAGATCTTGTATAAGCCTAGGCAAATTTTCTTTTTTTTTTCTGGAGAAGTTTTTGCTATAGGGCATGTGTGCTCACCAAAAAGACAGAGAGAGACAAAGAGACAGAAAGCGAGAAATCACCCCCCAGGGGGGGGTGGTCACGCCGCAATCCCTTCTCCGTTCTCCTCTTGGGATCTTGTGCATGCACGCACATGCGCCTGGCGTGAGTTTAAGTCACCGGGTCCGGGACTCGAACAGTGATCAATTACATGGGAGTCTAGTAATAGCCATTATGCCAACTGTTGGTCCCCAGGCCTAGGCAAATATGTATGTTGTATCTTAGTATATAACTAAAATTTTTTTAAAGTAAAATAATTTAAGTAAAAGAAATGAAAAATAGCAAAAGATGTACAGAATCAGGATGTAAAAGAAAATAGTTTTATACAGTTGTACATCAGTTTTTGTGTTTGAAGCTAAATGTTATTACAAGAGTCAAAAGGTGAAACAATTAAAAAGTTTAAGAAGTAAAAAAAGTTGCACAGTAAGTTATTATTGAAGAAAGAAAAGTACTCTTAATAAATGTAGTGTTGCCTAAGGGTATAGTGTTTATAAAGTCTACAGTAGTATACAGTCATGTCCTAGGCCTTCGGACACATTCCCCTCTCACTCACTCACTCACTCGCCCAGAGCAATGCTCAGTTCAGTGGGATACATCGATGGTAAGTACCCTATACATGTGCACTGTTTATCTTTTCTGCTGGGTTTTTACTCAACTTTTTCTATGTTTAGATTTGTTTGGATTCACAATCCTGTTGTGTTGTGTTATAATTGTCCACAGTGTTCAGTGCAGTCATGTGCTACTGAGTCTGTAGTCTGGGATCCGTAGCTATCCCATGTAACCTGGGTGGACAGCAGGCTAGTCTCTCTAGGTTTATGTACGTACACTCCGATGTTTGCACAATGACGTTTCTCAGAATATAACCTTCTGGGACCAGCAGTTAGCGTAATGGCTATGTCGCTGGACTCCCACGTAGTCAACCGCGATTCGCGTCCCGGACCCAGTGGCTTAAAACTCACACCGGGTGCGTGCGTGTGCGTGCGTGCCCAAGATCCCGAGAGGAGAATGGAGGAGAAGGGATTGTGGCATGACCATCCCCCTTAGGGGGTGATTTCTCGCTTTCTGTCTCTCTGTCTCTCTCTGTCTTTCTGGCAAGCACATGCGCCCTATAGCGAAAACCTCTAAATAAAAAAGAATATAAGCTTTTGTTGAGTGATGTGCAGTTGTGTATAGTTCATTTGATGCATTTCCATTGCTGTTTGAATGAAGCCCAAATTCTTGAACACATTTACAAAGGCCTTTTCCGATAAGGTCCCAGGTAATTAAACAGTCAAAAAGACCTTAAAAACTTCTTTCTAGGCTAGCCCCATAGCTCAGTGGTTAAGGCAGTGTGATCTGAAACAGTCAATTGCTGATCGAGTCCTGGACCTGGTAGCTTGAAAAACATGCTGGAAGTGCGAGTGTGTGCGTGTGTGTGTGCGCCCCAAATCTTGATAGGATGGAGAAATGGAGAAGGGATTGTGGTGTGAGCACACACCACTGTCGGGGGGAGGTGTGCTTCCTCCCTCTCTCTCTCTGTCTCTCTCTCTGTCTCCATCTCTCTGGCAAGTGCACATGCCCTCTGGCAATGAAAAAAACCTCCCTTTTTGTGTTTCAATGTTAATGCAGTAAAATTTCAAAGCCTTCCCTGATGATGACTCCTGCTTTTGTTAATCTGTCTCTCCAGTGCAGTCAGGTAGTTGTAATACTTCCTATGGAACTGTTTATCATTCTGGGTTATAAATTAGTAATCGTCTAACTTCTTCACAGACTGGCAAGTTCACGAGGCCTCACGCCGTAGTTAAGTACCTAGCGCTGTGCCTGGCTCGTGAGAGGCACAGCGGCTCTTAGCAAAGCACGAGCTGTGGAGCCTGAACGGGCTTGCTCACGGCGCCCCGAATACGTCTTCCGTATTTCACCTTTTCAGAAGTCGAATGTGCCTCTCTCGTTACACTGCTTATCACTTCCCTGCATCCTGCAGACCTCAGCCTAGTTCCTGCCGCGTCTGTACAGATGCCCCTAGGCTGAATCCAGTCTTCCTGGTCTCACTTGCCCGCCTTACCTGCTCTGTCCTGTGGGTTCTTGTAACATTTGCATCTTCACTGCCTCCGTGCTATGAGTACGCTGCCCTGCCCTGTCCCGTCCCTCCTGTGTGAGCTCGCTTATCTCTTCAGCCCTGTGTCACTGTGTCAACAGCCAGGTGCCCACTTTCACTCCTTCCTTTTCTTTCACAGTTTTTTTTTTTCCTGGGGGGAGAGGCTTTTGATATAGGGTGCCTGCACTCGCTCTCCAGAGAGACAGAGAGAGACAGAGAGACAGAAAGCGAGAAATCACCCCCCAGTGGGGATGGTCACCGCCACAATCCCTTCTCCTCCATTCTCCTCTCAGGATCTTGGGCACACGCACGCACATGCGCCCGGCGTGGGTTTAAGGCACCGGGTCTGGGACTCAAACCGCGGTCAACTACATGGGAGTCCAGGGACATAGCCATTACGCTAACTGCTTTCCCTCTTTCACAGTTATTAATACTTAGCTCTCAGGGCAGAGGACTGTGCTGGTGACTCTGGGGGCTGCAGAATGCATGAGAGGCTCTCATTGTAAAGAAGTTCACATTCAAGTAGAGAAAAGGAGGAATGGGAAACTTGCATTTATTGAGAACTTCTTGTGAATCGGGGGTTATGGTCAGCTTTCGTGCGGTTGATCTTCCCGAACAGAGACCAAGGACATAGGGCAGGAACATGAGAAGGTGGAAAGCTGAGGAAAGTGCTGTAGAATTGTATGTATTCCATTATTTTGCAGGTGTACGGGGTGCCAGGCATAAGTGAGTGCCGGAATATCTTACTTCACGCTGAGCTTACAGTTTTGTGGGGGATGCAGAAAATAAATAGGCAATTACAATGGCTTGGTAGTAGTGTAACTGGCACAGTGGTTAGAATCTGCTTTGAAGTGCTTGCTTCACAGAACTCTGTCTAGCAGGGATGACTGAACAGCAAGCATACACTGTACACTCCAGTCCCTCGCGGGCTACGATGGGAGGGTTCTTGGAAGTGAGGGGAAGGGGCTGACCTAACCCTGGGAGCTGGGAGACTGAGATCAGAAGTGGAGTTAGCGAGGCAAGGATGGTGGGGGGAAGGGTATTGGAAGCAGAGGAAATTGGAGGGTTGCAGATCCAGAGATGGAGGAGGCATGGCTCACTCAGCATTTCTCTTGGCCGGGTCGTAGACTAGGAAGGAATGAGTCCTGAGAGGTGCAGGGCCGGGATCGTGGAGGGCATTTCATTACACAGAATTTAAGTCATCAGCTAAGATAGAGTAAGCTTATAATGTAACCAAACTCAAATCAGGTTCGCTCGCCCAAGCGCTGTAAAACCAAGCCATAGGCACATGGTGTGATGAAGGAAAGTACAGCTTTATTGCAAAGCGCAAAGCAAGGAGAGCGGGCAGCTCATGCTGAAAAGACCCAGTCTCCCCGAGATGTTCCCCACATGCTTTTTTAAGGACAAAATTAGGGGCAGAGGTCCCAGGCACATGATCAGTTCAGTGATTGGTTCAAGAGGGTGTGATCATCTCGTGGGCATGATGAGGCCTTAGATAGTCAAATTCCTCTTCAGGTGTCTGGAACCGTTCAGCCTGGAGTCTCTGAGCTCACAACCAGCAGTTTCCAGCCTACAAAACATCTTACATATTGAAATGAAAACCTTCTTTGCTTTAAGTGAGAGTTTTAGAGGTCAAATGGCCCTCACTCGTGGCCCATGTTGGTCATTATCATAACCAAAGTCTGAAGACTTACTCCTTACTCTGGGCCATTACAGCGCAAATGGACTTTATATTTCAGGAACCCTAGAAAATACATTAGGGGGTTCTTGCTCGGTTACAATAACACTTTTGGGGTGCGTGCGTGTGCGTGCGTGCCCAAGATCCCGAGAGGAGAATGGAGGAGAAGGGATTGTGGCATGACCATCCCCCTTAGGGGGTGATTTCTCGCTTTCTGTCTCTCTGTCTCTCTCTGTCTTTCTGGCAAGCACATGCGCCCTATAGCGAAAACCTCTAAATAAAAAAGAATATAAGCTTTTGTTGAGTGATGTGCAGTTGTGTATAGTTCATTTGATGCATTTCCATTGCTGTTTGAATGAAGCCCAAATTCTTGAACACATTTACAAAGGCCTTTTCCGATAAGGTCCCAGGTAATTAAACAGTCAAAAAGACCTTAAAAACTTCTTTCTAGGCTAGCCCCATAGCTCAGTGGTTAAGGCAGTGTGATCTGAAACAGTCAATTGCTGATCGAGTCCTGGACCTGGTAGCTTGAAAAACATGCTGGAAGTGCGAGTGTGTGCGTGTGTGTGTGCGCCCCAAATCTTGATAGGATGGAGAAATGGAGAAGGGATTGTGGTGTGAGCACACACCACTGTCGGGGGGAGGTGTGCTTCCTCCCTCTCTCTCTCTGTCTCTCTCTCTGTCTCCATCTCTCTGGCAAGTGCACATGCCCTCTGGCAATGAAAAAAACCTCCCTTTTTGTGTTTCAATGTTAATGCAGTAAAATTTCAAAGCCTTCCCTGATGATGACTCCTGCTTTTGTTAATCTGTCTCTCCAGTGCAGTCAGGTAGTTGTAATACTTCCTATGGAACTGTTTATCATTCTGGGTTATAAATTAGTAATCGTCTAACTTCTTCACAGACTGGCAAGTTCACGAGGCCTCACGCCGTAGTTAAGTACCTAGCGCTGTGCCTGGCTCGTGAGAGGCACAGCGGCTCTTAGCAAAGCACGAGCTGTGGAGCCTGAACGGGCTTGCTCACGGCGCCCCGAATACGTCTTCCGTATTTCACCTTTTCAGAAGTCGAATGTGCCTCTCTCGTTACACTGCTTATCACTTCCCTGCATCCTGCAGACCTCAGCCTAGTTCCTGCCGCGTCTGTACAGATGCCCCTAGGCTGAATCCAGTCTTCCTGGTCTCACTTGCCCGCCTTACCTGCTCTGTCCTGTGGGTTCTTGTAACATTTGCATCTTCACTGCCTCCGTGCTATGAGTACGCTGCCCTGCCCTGTCCCGTCCCTCCTGTGTGAGCTCGCTTATCTCTTCAGCCCTGTGTCACTGTGTCAACAGCCAGGTGCCCACTTTCACTCCTTCCTTTTCTTTCACAGTTTTTTTTTTTCCTGGGGGGAGAGGCTTTTGATATAGGGTGCCTGCACTCGCTCTCCAGAGAGACAGAGAGAGACAGAGAGACAGAAAGCGAGAAATCACCCCCCAGTGGGGATGGTCACCGCCACAATCCCTTCTCCTCCATTCTCCTCTCAGGATCTTGGGCACACGCACGCACATGCGCCCGGCGTGGGTTTAAGGCACCGGGTCTGGGACTCAAACCGCGGTCAACTACATGGGAGTCCAGGGACATAGCCATTACGCTAACTGCTTTCCCTCTTTCACAGTTATTAATACTTAGCTCTCAGGGCAGAGGACTGTGCTGGTGACTCTGGGGGCTGCAGAATGCATGAGAGGCTCTCATTGTAAAGAAGTTCACATTCAAGTAGAGAAAAGGAGGAATGGGAAACTTGCATTTATTGAGAACTTCTTGTGAATCGGGGGTTATGGTCAGCTTTCGTGCGGTTGATCTTCCCGAACAGAGACCAAGGACATAGGGCAGGAACATGAGAAGGTGGAAAGCTGAGGAAAGTGCTGTAGAATTGTATGTATTCCATTATTTTGCAGGTGTACGGGGTGCCAGGCATAAGTGAGTGCCGGAATATCTTACTTCACGCTGAGCTTACAGTTTTGTGGGGGATGCAGAAAATAAATAGGCAATTACAATGGCTTGGTAGTAGTGTAACTGGCACAGTGGTTAGAATCTGCTTTGAAGTGCTTGCTTCACAGAACTCTGTCTAGCAGGGATGACTGAACAGCAAGCATACACTGTACACTCCAGTCCCTCGCGGGCTACGATGGGAGGGTTCTTGGAAGTGAGGGGAAGGGGCTGACCTAACCCTGGGAGCTGGGAGACTGAGATCAGAAGTGGAGTTAGCGAGGCAAGGATGGTGGGGGGAAGGGTATTGGAAGCAGAGGAAATTGGAGGGTTGCAGATCCAGAGATGGAGGAGGCATGGCTCACTCAGCATTTCTCTTGGCCGGGTCGTAGACTAGGAAGGAATGAGTCCTGAGAGGTGCAGGGCCGGGATCGTGGAGGGCATTTCATTACACAGAATTTAAGTCATCAGCTAAGATAGAGTAAGCTTATAATGTAACCAAACTCAAATCAGGTTCGCTCGCCCAAGCGCTGTAAAACCAAGCCATAGGCACATGGTGTGATGAAGGAAAGTACAGCTTTATTGCAAAGCGCAAAGCAAGGAGAGCGGGCAGCTCATGCTGAAAAGACCCAGTCTCCCCGAGATGTTCCCCACATGCTTTTTTAAGGACAAAATTAGGGGCAGAGGTCCCAGGCACATGATCAGTTCAGTGATTGGTTCAAGAGGGTGTGATCATCTCGTGGGCATGATGAGGCCTTAGATAGTCAAATTCCTCTTCAGGTGTCTGGAACCGTTCAGCCTGGAGTCTCTGAGCTCACAACCAGCAGTTTCCAGCCTACAAAACATCTTACATATTGAAATGAAAACCTTCTTTGCTTTAAGTGAGAGTTTTAGAGGTCAAATGGCCCTCACTCGTGGCCCATGTTGGTCATTATCATAACCAAAGTCTGAAGACTTACTCCTTACTCTGGGCCATTACAGCGCAAATGGACTTTATATTTCAGGAACCCTAGAAAATACATTAGGGGGTTCTTGCTCGGTTACAATAACACTTTTGGCTCAGGTTCCTACTCTGAATCGAGTTTCTAACTGTTTCAGTAAGTTTCTCTTTAGTGTGTACTTATTAGTCATTTTATAAAAATGGGATGCAGTCATTCGGTAGAAACCAGCCAACCTACTAAATAAATAAAACCCCACACAAACAAACAAAAAGATGAGCCCTCTATTAGTAATTGGCCTCTGTGTCTCGAAACCCAGATTTCTTAAGATGGCTCTTTAAGGTGCCTTTTAATAAAAAATGAAAATATGTGTCCCCGTGGAGGCCTCCTGCGTGCCGCCCCAGGGTGTGAGAAGCGGAGCCTCTTTCTAGCTGCAGACATAGCGAGCGTTCCGAGAGGATGGGGTAGACAGCACGAACGAGAGGAACCACTGTTCTTGAGATCAGGCCCACGGAAGTCCCAGAGGAGTTGTCACACAGTCCTGCAATCCCCAAATCTGGGTTAACTGATTGGAGTGTTTGTTTTAGGTTCGTGTATAATGAATGATCGTGTTTTCTCATCTTTATAGAAAGAAATTCAAGCCATGAGTCAGTGCCATCACCCCAACATCGTGTCCTACTACACGTCGTTCGTGGTGAAAGACGAGCTGTGGCTAGTCATGAAGCTGCTCAGTGGAGGTGAGTGGGTGCAGGGCGGTGCTGCTTCACGGGGGGCGACGCGCCTCCGCTTCATCCTGAGTGGGTTATCGTGGACAGCTGCCTCTGAGGACACTGAGACTGCGGGATCTGCTGGCGACGCCCATGTCTGAGCCGACTTGCTCCTGTTGTATTTGGCTGTCATGCCTCTTAACTCCCTCTCAACTTAGGATGGGCCCCCGCTTCTCCCTCTAGCATGGACTTAGGAAGGGCCTAGTTCAGTTATCTTGTGGAAGGTTCCACATTCTGGGTTTATGCAGGGATACGCTCGTCTACTTACAAACGAAAATTCTATTCAAAGGCCTGATTATATTCACGTTAAGTATTTTAGGGCAAAATGCTTCGTAGGTGATGCTGTGTGTACTTCGTATTATATCTCATCAGGACACATCAGGAGGTACTTGCTATCTGGTTGTGCTTTTTTTTTTTTTTTTTTTTCTTTATTTTATTTATTTCTGAATTTGACCACAGTCACAGAGAGAGAAAGGGAAAGTGAGAAAGCAAGCCGCCAGGTCCAGGCTGTGGTCGGCCATGTGGGAGTCTAGCACCTTAATCACCATGCCACCTGCCAGCCCCTCTGGTTGTGTTTTTAATAATGTTTGTTTTGTTTGCTTAAGATTGTGACAGCCAGGTCTCTCTCTGGAAAAGTTCACTTTTTTCCCTTTGCAGCTAGCAAGTAATCTGTGAGGTGATAATTTGGCTGTGAACACCCAGTTCCCCGTAAGTCTTTCATGTCATGATTTTAGCAACCCTTGTTTGAATCAGATATTTCACTGGGGTTGTAAGATAGTGGGTTTCCCTATTGCATTGTTTCTTGTACATTTATAAACTGGCATTCTTTTTTTTTTTTTTCCTTGGAGAGATTTTTGCCTATAGGGTTGCTATCTGGTTGTGCTTTTTTTTTTTTTTTTTTTTTCTTTATTTTATTTATTTCTGAATTTGACCACAGTCACAGAGAGAGAAAGGGAAAGTGAGAAAGCAAGCCGCCAGGTCCAGGCTGTGGTCGGCCATGTGGGAGTCTAGCACCTTAATCACCATGCCACCTGCCAGCCCCTCTGGTTGTGTTTTTAATAATGTTTGTTTTGTTTGCTTAAGATTGTGACAGCCAGGTCTCTCTCTGGAAAAGTTCACTTTTTTCCCTTTGCAGCTAGCAAGTAATCTGTGAGGTGATAATTTGGCTGTGAACACCCAGTTCCCCGTAAGTCTTTCATGTCATGATTTTAGCAACCCTTGTTTGAATCAGATATTTCACTGGGGTTGTAAGATAGTGGGTTTCCCTATTGCATTGTTTCTTGTACATTTATAAACTGGCATTCTTTTTTTTTTTTTTCCTTTGGAGAGATTTTTGCTATAGGGCGTGTGCGTTAGCCAGACAGAGAAAACAGAATTTTCACTTTAGTCTTACAATGAAATACAGGTATTGCAACTGCAAACAGTAGATCCTTGGCATGTATGGAGTGAATATTTTGTTATGGCGACCTGAAGGCCCATGCATTTAATAAATTAGTCATTTTGCCCAGGTGTGGATTTGAATCACATGGCAAGATTGGGAGGACTCGTGAGCGATGGAGCCATCCCAGTCTTCCCATCGGCGTTGCTTGGTTTTGTTGGTATACGTTTCTTTTGTGGGAGTATGCTTTTCAGTTTTGGAATATAGAGTTATAGACAAGAGAATCCATGGTGGTTTAGTTCCCAGGTCTAATACCACACCTCACCCTCTTCCCAGAGAAGCTGTAAAGGAAAAACCATAGGCTATAGAATTAAATTCCGTCTTTCCTACCTAGCAGTTGATATCATTGGAAAACCATTTTGACTCTTCGATTCTTTTTGCTTGTCTTTCAAATGGGAAGACCTTTTATTGTATCCCAGGGTCTAGGCGAGGAGTCAGTGAGTATCTTCAGCACCCACCCCTGTACTGATGTGTAACAGGTGCACAGGAAGTTGTAGTCCTTCCCAGTAATGACTCCTTGCTCTTTGCTGCTTCTCAGTGTAGCCAGAATCACCTTTTTGTCTCACTCCCATTAGTGACACACTGGAGAGGCTGGATTGTTTTGTTAAAGGCCCTGTTGATGTGATGGTTAGAAGCCTTGCTAACACCAACCACCTTTCAAGATGGTGGTCAAGCATGGTTCTTTCAGTTTGGACAGATATGGGAATATTAGGTAATATCATATCTTTTGTTATTGATCACTTATAGTATATTTTTTCTTTACTTGTAATTTACAACCATGTATAATACAACGTTTTTAATGTTTTGCAAAAAAGTCCTCTGATAAATAGGAACAAATTGCTTTATTCTCTCATCCATTCCTGTATGCCAGCCCACCCTTTCTGCTACTCCTAAACAGAATGACTTTAAGGGTTTCTGTTTATCTCTCAGCGAGTAAATGTCCTGATCACAGATGGGGCGGGCAGGACATGGAGGTGGCCGGGATGTCTTTAAAGTAGCTCCACGTCCCTTCTGGCCTTAGGGCTCCTGGGAGAGTGCCCAGTGTTTGCAGCTCACACCCAGCAAATAGTTCCTGAAGAAAACTTCCAAGGGTCCCAGGTTTAAACTCTATACTTACTTGTACTTTTATGAGCCCTCATAGTCATTATATGTAAACCTTTTTTTTTTCTCTTTAATTTGTTAGCGGGCACATGTGTGTAGAGAGAGACAGAGAGGAGCATGCCCCCTCCCGGCGGGGCCTGGTCACGCCGCAGCCCTTCTCCTTCGTGTCTGCACTCTTGGGATTTGGTGCATGGACGTCCACACACCAGGCATGGTTTTGAAGCTGCTGGGGCACGGATTTGAATCACATCATCTGCATGGGGTATCTGGCTCCCTAGGCACAGGACCGTGGTGCCAGCCCTATCTCTAAACCCTTTTATTTTTTATTTATTTATTTTTTTAAGGTTTTTCCATAGGGTACTTGAGCTCACTGGAAAGAGATAGAGAGAGGGAAAATGAGAAAACATCCCTGGGGGCATGGCTACGCTGCAATCCCTTTTTCTCTATTCCCCCCTCAGGAGTCTGGGCACGCACACACATGTGCCCAATGTGATTTTCAAGCCACTGGGTCCAGGACTTGAACTGCAGTTGAAGAGGTGGGAGTCCAGGGCCTTAATCCCCATGCCACCTGCTATTAAAAATGTCTCACATTTTTATGTTTTAAATGTTACAGATTTTCCATATTTTTTTTCGAAAAATAAAATCTTGCTTTTTATTTTATTTATTTATTTATTTTTGGAGAGGAATTTTTTTTTTTTTTTTTTTTGCTATAGGGCACGTGCACTCGCCAGACAGACAGAGAGAGACATAGAGCCAGAAAGCGAGAAATCACCCCCCCGGGGGGATGGTCACGCCCCACACCCTTCTCCTCCATTCTCCTCTCGGGATCTTGGGCACGCACGCACATGCGCCCGGCGTGAGTTTTAAGCCACCGGGTCTGGGACGCGAACCGCGGTCGGCTACGTGGGAGTCCAGCGACATAGCCATTACGCTAACTGCTGGTTCCCTTGCTTTTATTGTTACAAAGCGAATAAATATTAAGCAATATTTCGAACACAAGCTAAAACTAAGTATAACTTAAATTTTATTATTTTTTTGAAAGGAAACAGTGTCAGGATTTATAGCTCAATTAAAATGCCCTTGATCAAATACTTACTGATCATCAATATGTTGATGAATCAAACTTTCACTTCCTTGCTCTCATGGGCCCTACTGCTGATGAAGAGAATTATAATAGATTAACTGTAACTATAGGGGTATTGAATGCCATGAATAAGTATCAAGTGCCATGAAGCCAAGATTCAGGAGAACCTGACCTTATCACAGTGAAATTAACAAAGACCGCTAGTGACCAGCCGAGACCTAAAACATAAGTAATCATGAGCCAGGATGGGATGTGGGTGGGCTTAGTTTCAGGGAAAGGATGGGAGAGGTGATCCTGACAGAAGGAACACTGCAGAAAGGGCATGGATGCAGGACACAGAAGCATGGTGTGTCTCCATGGGGTTGGGGGGCGGCACCGCTGGAGCAGAGAGTGAGAGAATAGAACCATTCCCCGACGTCGAGTTAACAGAAACGTAACATGGATAGGGCGCCTTCTTTCACATCAACCTTTCCTTTCAAAATACCTAGAATAAAAGCATAGTTTTGATTTTGCAACAATGTATTGATGTCATATTTAATAAGCTAATTAAATCATAAAATGAATTGTGGCTATCACCCTTACCCTCACCAACCAGGTGGACCTTACGGTTGAACTGAATTTTATATGTATGTTGATTTTGTGATCGTTTCACAGTGCTTCCTTATAACTGTAATATTTTTATCTTTTCTTAATTAAACCCTGATTTTGAATGTTAGAATTTCTTAGTATGGGAAGTTCATATTTAGAAATTAAAAACACTTGAGAGTCAACTTCAAGAAATTAGGGAGAAACATATAGTCCATCAGATGACCAGAAATCACTGACCACAGAGGCATAAGAAATATGAGAAACCAAGAAAATACCTCTCCCCCAAAGGAAAAGAACAACTCCTCACTATCCACAGATCAGTACAATGGAACTCATAGAAATGTGAGATAAAGAGTTTAGAATATTCATAGTGACAGAGCTAACAGAGATGCAAGAGAAGAGAGACAGTGAACTCCAGAAGATGCGAGAGAAAAGGGAAAAGGAGTTCCAGGAGGTGAGGAAGTCCTTACACGATCAGAAAGAGGAAATACACACCACAAAAAAGAATCAAATAGAACTATTAGATGAAGGCTTTAATACAGGAAATCTAAACCTCTCTTGAAAGTATTAAAAGCAGATTAGATCATGCAGAACATCAAATTTCGGATGTTTAACACAGAATCCCTGGCCTAGAAAAATTCACCACAAAGACTGAGAAAATAACCCCCCAAAATGAGAATAATATACGAGAAGTACTAGATACCATTAATGTCCAAACATCCGGATCATTGGTATCCCAGAAGGTGCAGAAACTAATAA